TTTTTAAACCGATGCATCGCATCGTTAACTTTTTATGCCGATGCACCGAGCGAATCGGGGAATCTTCCCATCCCTATTTCACACACATTTTCATAATTAAAAATTCAATAATACGATGTATAATATTCAACAGGCAAATTTCGGTCAATTTTATTTCACTTTCCAAATTCACTGCCACAAATTCAGTGGTTAAAAAAAAAGGTATTTGTGTACTGTCTAAGTAGAAGTTTTGATTATCGGGGCCAGTATAAACATGTGGAAAAGCTGATTGTGTGTATGTTTAATTCAACATCTTCACTGTTTCCCATAGCTTACATGTAAGCAGCTTTCTCTACCACAAAGAAAATTAGTAATGCTATTTTACCCAACGTTGAAGTACAGAACTAACATTACATCTGAGGAAGACATATATTGCTCTCAGTTGCTTAGTTTCCTTTACTTGTAACATGGCTTGTGTGACGCTGTGCTGTAATACTGGGGTTCCCCCTCATACGTCACACTCCTGGATTCCCCAACGACACTTAACGCGACTCAGTGAACTAATACAGTGATATAAGACCTCCAGATCTCAGAATACACTTTATTGATGATTACGCAAACTATATACAGGCAAGCAAATGAGGTCAGAAGAACGCAATGCGCTGCATTTTCTTTATAATTGCTTTCCCTTACCATGCACTGATCTATAGAATCGACAGTCCTACAAAGTTATCAATACCACGATTAATTTTAACAATATGCAACCACTTTATATCGACATTAAAAAAAGGAGTTCAAAACCGCCTATGTGTATTGTTGCTGCAAATTTAAACCGGAGAAATCCTTATGTTTCCATCCAAAGATGCGAATTTAGCTTATGCGCAAAACTGGAATATCGCATAAAACATATGCGAATAAAGCACCGTTTCCATCCAACGAGTCAAAGAGAACAAAATCGTCACTTCCTGATAAACTAAATATCTAAATATCTCTAAGAAAACTAGGAGAAGCCACTGAATATAATAATTTTCATATGTAATAAATTACTTGCGCTTCAGAGAGAGCAGACGTAACACAATAAATGCGGTCATTGCTTTTAGAGGTGGATGTATCTGTGTTTGTCTCTCTGCGCATGTTCTGAATCTGTGTGTTTGTTTCTCTGCGCGTGTGCTGAATCTGTGTGTTTGTTTCTCTGCGCGTGTGCTGAATTTGTATTTGTCTCTGCGCGTGTGCTTAATCTGTGTGTGTTTGTTTCTCTGCGCGTGTGCTGAATTTGTATTTGTCTCTGCATTTTGTCGCTTCCATCCAGCATTTTTTTATGCGATAATCCAAAATGCGCATAAAAATAGGTGGATGGAAACGACACGCTATCGCACCTAAGGGACCGTCTGACAATTCCACTGACTGGGTTAAAATGTCCAATGTATTTTAATTAAAATAACTTTTAACATTTAAAATAACACACTGTCAAATTGTAAAGCTTGTATTGCTCATAGTGATTTACTACAGGTGAGATTTTGCCAATACCTCCCTTCATATATGTACAGTAATTATTTACATATAAAAGATCCCTGGAAAGGGTTTTTCATGTTCCAACGGTTGAGGTACATTACTAGATACAAGACTGACTTACTACAGGTTAGATTTTGCCAATATTTCCCTTACGGTATGTACAGTACACAAATACCTTTTTAAAAAACCACTGAATTTGTGGCAGTGAATTTGGAAAGTGAAATAAAATCGACCGGAATTTGCCTGTTGAATATTATACATCGTATTTTTAAACAGATTTATTATTTTGGAAGTTAATTCTGGAAGGTGAATATGAATTACTGAATTTTTAATTATGAAAATGTGTGTGAAATATTTTAAATTGAAATATTCACAGCTTAAATAAACAACTATGTTAAATTTCAGGACCTAAAAATGCAAGCCCTGGAAATACAATCCATTAAAATGCAAGCACTGTTAATGCAATGCATTATTTTTTCAGTCAGTGCTATTCAACATGCTTTGTTGTTTCAAAGACATATGGCATTATTTTGCTTCCATATTTGTCTCTCTGCGCATGTGCTGAATCTGTGTTTGTCTCTCTGTGCATGAGCTGAATCTGTGTTTGTCTCTGCGTGTGTGCTGAGCCTGTGTGTGTTTGTCTCTCTGCGCGTGTGTTGAATCTGTGTGTGTTTGTCTCTCTGCACGTGTGCTGAATCTGTGTGTTTGTCTCTCTGCGCGTGTGCTGAATCTGTGTTTTTCTCTGCGCGTGTGCTGAATTTATGTTTCTCTGCGCGTGTGCTGAATGTGTTTTTCTCTGCGCGTGTGCTGAATTTCTGTTTCTCTGCGCTTGTTCTGAATCTGCGTTTTTCTCTGCGCGTGTGCTGAATCTGCGTTTTTCTCTGCGCGTGTGCTGAATCTGCGTTTTTCTCTGCGCGTGTGCTGAATCTGCGTTTTTCTCTGCGCGTGTGCTGAATCTGCGTTTTTCTCTGCGCGTGTGCTGAATCTGCGTTTTTCTCTGCGCGTGTGCTGAATCTGCGTTTTTCTCTGCGCGTGTGCTGAATCTGTGTTTGTCTCTGCGTGTGTGCTGAATCTGTGTTTTTCTCTGCGCGTGTGCTGAATCTGTGT